ATGGCTGTTGTCTCCTGTCGGTCCCCTTCGGAGAAGGACAAGCACAGAGATGCTGAGGGCCACCTGGCCAGCTGGGGATGAAGCCAGATGCAGGTGCCCAGCCCCTGGGGCCTGGTCCACCCCAGGCCTGTGTGTCCTGGTAGCCCATACCTCAGAGATGTGGGAGTGATCCAGGGTGCAGACACGGGATGGAAGTTGGAACAAGAGGTTGGAACACTGGGTGTGTTCCAGACAGGCACCAGGCCAAGGGGAGCAGCTGGCAGGCCACAGTAGCAGATCGCAGCCTGCAAGTGAGTGTGTTGGAGAGACCACCACCACCACCACCAGGCTAAAACTTCAGAGCCGGTCAGACTGACACAGACCGTGCCTTTGTGAAGAGGTGTGGGCACAGCATGATTTAAAGAAAACCCCACCCAGCTGGTGTGGCTCAGTGGTTGAGCATCAACCCACGTGCTGGTTCGTTCCTTGGTCAGGGCACATGCCCAGGTTGTGGACTTGATCCCCAGTGGGTGGTGTGCAGGAGGCAGCTGATCAATATTTCTCTATCATCACTGATATTTCTATCTCTCTCCCCCTCCCTTTCTCTCTGTCTAAAATAAAGAAAAACATTTAAGAAAGAGAGAAAGAAATAAAGAACATCCCACTTCTGTGATGGTCGTCCTGCCAAGCCTCAAACTCTTGCCATAAAACTCTTTGAGGGCCCAAAGCAAAAATCCCAAGGTAGCTAAACGGAAATTGCCACAGAACAAGACATTGAACCACTGGTGTTTCAGGACTAGGCAGAGGTGGGAGGAACCATGGGTACAAGAGGCAAGTACCTGAGTTTGGGACTCAGGGATCCAGGGTGGAGAATCGACCTGACAGCCATTCCAGCATCCCTTGCATCTATGAAGCATTTGTCTGTCACATATATGTTACTGGAGTATTAACTAAACTTTTGTGAAAGGGGTATGTATGTAAGAGGAGACACATAAAGCAGTGTGAACAGGCGCGGTGCCGTCGTTGCTGTGACAGAGATGTGTGCAAAGAACTGTGAGGCCCAGGAAACCATCCCCACATCTTCAGAGTTTGGGTGTTGGTGACGGTATGCGAATTTGGGGCAATGAGCCTTCCTGATCCTTCTACCATCCCTAGACTTCAGCACCTGTAAAGGGTGAGGAAATTATCAAAGGGAGTCCCAAGGTGTACTTCTTAATCTCCAAATTGGTGGTTCTAGAATAGTCACAGAGATGTAAACTACAACATAAAGAATATAGTCAGTAATATTGTAATGACTAAGTAGGGGGCCAAGTGGGTTCTTAAAATATCAGGGGCCATTATGTAGGGTACTAATACAGAATAATACTTAATGTAAACGGTCATTGAAATTTTTTTAAAAAAAAGATAGAATCATGGAACAGACTATGGAATCTCAGAGAGAAGGGGGGTTTGGGTGGGTAAGTGGGTGGGAAGAGATTAACCAAAGAATTTGCATGCATATATGCATAACCCATAGACACAGACAATAGTGGGGTGATGGCCTAAGGGGGTAGAGGAGACTAAAAAAGGTCAATGGGGAAAAAGGGAACATCTGTAATACTTTCAACAATAAAGATAAAAAAAGAAAGAAAAATTAAAAAAAGAAGAAAGTCCTAAGACCCCACCAGATGGTCACTTTTCCGAAGTCTACGTTTTTGAACAGCAGGCTTCCCCTAGGGCTTTGCAGACTTGCAAATGCTTTTGCTTGTAGGATAAATCCTCTCTGACCCAGGAAAGTTAGCACCCAGAACCTGCTGTGTCCAGCCAGGCATCTTGTCTTCCTCCTTCACACCCACCATTCTGCACCCACAGCCCTCCAGACCATGCAAAGGGCCTTTGTTTAGGAAGCTCTAAGCCTTTTCCTGGTCCACACCATCCTGGTCCACACCTTCCCCCTGGTCCAATCAGGGGTTCCCACTTGTTTCTGGCTTGCAGTCTCAAAGTCCTCCCGTCCACAGCCACATGGAAGGTGGTCAGCACAGTGGGTGTGGGCCCTCAGTGCAGGAAGACTGCACCCACCTCTGGGCATTTGGTGTGCTCACCCAAAGGAGTCCACTCCCCCACACCGGACACAGGAAGGACAAACATCCTTCCACTATAGGGACTCAGTTCCAAACCTCAAACCAGAGGGGCCATCTCCCTCTGCAGCCAGCAGGCCTCTCCTGGCCTCCTTCCCGCCATCCCACAGTTGCCACAAGTCTTTCATGTCTTGAGAGCACCATGACCTTGTGCGTGAACTTTTTCCTATGAAAACTTCTTCACCTGGAGACCTCCAGATCATCCCTCCCTACAACTTCCTTCCGACCACTTATGGGCCCCCAGCATCGGGGCTTACCTCTCTCAAAACACTTCTTCCTGAAAAATTGCACCCCCCAAAAAAATGTTTGGGTCTTCAAGGGCCTGGTTTCTCATCTTGTTCAAGGCGGCACCCCCAGGTCAATGTACCTGCTTCATGGTGGGCTCTTGTATGTAGGTGTTGAGAAAAAAAATAAATGAAAACTGTAATATACAAACAATAGGAAATGCAATTCTAGAGTAAGGTGGGGAGGGGTAGAAGGTGCACAAGTAGTTAATTAATCTCTTACATTTTCTTTACCAGCCATTGCTCAATGGTTCTCAAAATGTAGCCCCAGGCCAGCAAGCACCCACACTGGGAAACTTCTTAGAAACTTGGGTTCTTGGTTCCATCCCTGACCTGCTGATGCGGAAATTCAGGACCCTGGGCTCAGAAACCTGTGTTTTGGGTTGTTGTTTTTTTTTTTGTTTTGTTTTGTTTTGTTTTTTGGTTTTTATTTCTTTTCTCTCTCTTTTATTTTTTTTCATTTTTTAGGAGCCTGTGTTTTAACAAACCCCCACAGTGATTCTGATGCACCTCAAGTTTGAGAACCACTGACAGGGCCACAGCTGGGCCAGAACATGTAAATATTAAAAATCAGAAAAACATGACAATTAAAATCAAGATTTTCAACTGGTCAAACACTTCTCCACTCTCATCACCCTCCTCCCCTCCATCTTCTTACAGTAGCTCTTACAGGTCAGCAGCAGACGCAGTTAAGAGGTGCTATTTAACTCCATTTGATGGATGAAAACACTAAGGTTGAAGCAAAACCCAACTTCCTCAAATGATAAAATTAAAGCAGGCAAAGTCAGTGTAGGAATCTGACCCAACACTCTGTGTAGCAACACACAGTCACTCAGAAGCCAGTACAATAGAATCAAGCACCAGAGAATTCCCATTTGGAGGTTGAACTTATCTTCCCCTTGGCAGCCATACTGGCTGATGGAGTATGAACCTTCAGGAGGGTCGTGGGGGCCTCCAGTCTCCAAGGTCAGCCCTTCAGGATGACTGAGGACAATTACCCACACAGCTTCGATGGGGAAACAGGGTAGATTTTTTTTTTTTTTCAGTCAAAGTACCCAATTCGTTCCACCCAAAAATGGCTTTTGGTGTTTTAAATCTTCTGCCTGTCAGGGATGAACAACCCCACCTGTAGGAAGCCTGGCTGCCAGATACAGAGGTCTGGTGCCAACACCTAAGCCTGGGGCGGGAAGCGGGAGGGGGGAGGGGGGATGGGGACGGACAGACGGACTTGGAGCCCAAGTTCTGGGAAATGGGGACAAAGCTGGACCCCCAGGGCTTGCCTGGGTTTGAGTGGCTGTCTGGCGCCCCCTGGTGTTCAATGTCTGGACCTCAAAGAGCCAAAAGGCAGCCAGGAGGGAATGAGGGTCCAATGGCTGCAGCCATTCTCCTGGGAAAGGCTCTGGCCCAGGAGGAGCCAATGGAATGGGCCCAGGATTGGGCACAAGCCACTCCTGGCCTTCTGGTGGCCCTGATGCCCTCCAGGCTTCTTCCCAGTCCTGGTGGAAAAGCGCTCGAGGGACAGGCTGCCGAGAACCAAAAGGTGGGAAATTGTGCCCAAGCTCACCAGGAAGATGGGTCACTGTGTCCCCTCCTGCGGGTGTTTGGCCAGCGGGCTTTTCTTCCTGACTTACTGCCTTGGCCTGAGGCTTTTGGTCTTCTTTTTTTTTTTTTTTAAGAGAAATTGACGGTTGTGCTGAAGACAGCTTGGGCCCCGAGGTGACACAGCAGTTCTGAATGTGCTAAGTCGGTGGGCAGGAATGGGCATGATGTGCCCCAGCCATAAATAGTCCTTCATGGGTTCATGCAGAAGCCTGGCTCTGCTCCTCCTCCTCCCTGCCTGGTCCCCCGACATCCCCTCGTGCCCCCCACCCCCCCAGGCTCCACCAAAACAGCTGGTCAGCCCACCCTGCCCAGTGAGAAAAGATGCCTCATGCCCATGCTGTGGCCCCTCAGCACAGGACTCAGGGCCAATGCCCAGCTCCTGAGTCAGTTCTGGGCCGCGAAAGGAAAAGCAGGGCCCACACAGGATGCTGTGTGGACCTTACCCTGGGTCGTGTCTTGACTCCTTCTCATAGAAGCTGAGTCACAAACGTCCTGTGAATCAAGCCACTAGAACTCCCCAGCCCCCGTGTCCTCATCAGAGTAAGGGAGCTCTCAGCCCTGAAATTAGCCCGCCCAGCTCTAGGCAGAGGATCAGTCCAAGGATGAACCTTTTCTCGCTTCTCAGCTTTGCCTGGAGTCCCACGGCCCAGAATGGCTTTCTCCTTTCTTTCTTTGCACTCCATGCACAGCTTAGACTTCTCTGGGAGCCCTTCTTGATGCCCTGAGCCTGAGGTTGGTCCCCCCATACCTTCTGCATGTCCCAGCAGTGGTCATGAGGTATGTTGAGGGGCCATGGGCAGTCTCGGCCCCACGAGAGTTTAAAGCCTCGTGAGGCAAGAGCAGGGCCACATCTGCCTCATTCCCCCTGACATCCCAGGTCCTGGTACAGTGCCTGCCATGTCATAGGCACGCAGTCCATGTGTGTTTGAATAGGGGGGGTGGGGGAGGTAGGCTCGGAGTGAACCGGGGTGCCGCTTGGCCCTGACAACTGTGTTGGGACTATTTATTGTCTTCCTAGGCCACGGAGGGCTGAACCAGCTGGGAGGGGCCTTCGTGAACGGCAGACCCCTGCCCGAAGTGGTGCGTCAGCGCATAGTGGACCTGGCCCATCAGGGCGTGAGGCCCTGTGACATCTCCCGCCAGCTTCGTGTCAGCCATGGCTGTGTCAGCAAGATTCTTGGCAGGTAAGCACGAAATTCACCACCCTCCACCCTCCGGCAGGGTGGCCTCTGCACCCTACAGGCTCCCAGCCACCTCCTTCCCAGGGACCAGGGCTGCATGCTCCCTTTTTCTCCTGGCTGTGTGTCTCATTTTCCAAGGCTTCTCACTCCTGCAGCAGGAGACTCTTCCCCAAAGGGCCTTGCCCGCTGAGACCCAGGGAGATGGAGCCACGAGGGAAGGGGCATACCCTCAGAGATGGCTTCCACGGTCAACCCCTGGGCCTCCACCCTCTCTGGTAGCCAGGCCTGGATGCTGTGAGCTTTTGAGATGACCAGGTGACCTGCCTAGGGAACCTTTAATTTAAAAAGTATTCAAGGCGTAGGCCCAGCCCATGCCTGTTAGGGCAGAATTTTATGGGTAGGGCCCAGGTCTGGAATTATTCTGGGCCTCACATGATTCTAAAGCCAGAGTTGAAATCACCACCCAGAGGTTCAGGTGGAGCCAGGATAGCAAAGCTCTGATCCAGGCTGACTCTGCCTGGAGGGCCACTCCTGCCTGAGTGCTTGAGGCAGAGGGTGGGAGCTTCCAGTCCCCGGGGAGCTGCCTCCCTTCCCTCACCCCACGCAAGTAGACTCGGAAGGAGCTCTGGTTTAGAGGCAAAGGACCTGTCACCAAACGGCGGGAAGCTCTGGCCTCCCAGCTAATGTTGTCAGGAAAGAGTGCGGCCCCTTCAGGGTCAGGAGAGGGGACCTCAGGATGGGCCAACCGCCACAGAGAGGAGGTGGTGCCTAGATGGTGGCAACAGAGTTTAAAGGGCAGATGCTATTTCATGGCAGAGGATACCAAAGAGTTTCCAGAACAAGGACGTGGCAGTATCCCGACATAGGTAATTGACCTGCTAAAAAGCAGCTGGTTGGGGGTGAAGGGAAAGGAGGAAAGGGGTGCAGGCTCAATGTAAGGAGGGGACATGGCCAGACATCCAGGCAAGGCTGGGATTCTAGAGATTGTGAGAACGGCTTCTACCTGACCCCTGAAACCTGGTAGAAAAACAGTTCCCAAAGGGGAGTAGGGGTGAGGGTGGGATGGGAACAAAGATGAACCAGCAAATGGGACAGAGCTGCCCTCCTGGGGAGGGCCAAACCAGGGTGGACGGGGAGAAGAGTGAGTCATGCTGCAGCCAGCAGAGATGGACGAGGACGTGCCACTGTGAGCTATGACTCACAGGGAACCTACTGAGCCAGCATTCCTGTTCTTTGAAAGGAATCTGTAGGCCCCAGGGTGGCCCATAAGGCACTCATACCAGCCAAAGGGAAAGGCAAAGGAAGAGCCAGGGATCCGGGAGGTGGGGTCCTCAGCAGAGTGGCCAGCACAAACCTGCCCATGCAGGGAAACAGCACTGGGGGGCAGTGTTTGAGGCCAGCTTTGGGGGCACTTGTGACCCTGGCCTCTCCCCAGAAGCCTCAGAAAGGACAAGGGTATCTGGTTAAGTCCATGCCCAGAGACTCACCTGCCTACTGGGTAATCTTTGGGTTGTCTATTGGAGTAGGTACTACGAGACTGGCAGCATCCGGCCTGGGGTGATAGGTGGCTCCAAGCCCAAGGTGGCTACTCCCAAGGTGGTGGAGAAAATCGGGGACTACAAGCGACAGAACCCCACCATGTTCGCCTGGGAGATCCGAGACCGGCTCCTGGCTGAGGGCGTCTGTGACAACGACACTGTGCCCAGTGTCAGCTCCATCAACAGGTGAGAGGCCGACGGCAACCAGGGGTCTCAGAGGTCATGCGAGAGGAAGGCCCTGGCTCATGGACCAGAACGGGGAGGGGGCCTGGAGCCAGACAGGAAGCCCGGGCACAGGCTGGCATCTCACCTCCTCATCTCCTCAGGGCCACAGGCATCCCACTACCTTCCTGGCTGTAATTCCTGCAGTTTCCTTCCTAACACACCACCTCATGTCTCATTGAATAAAACAATCTTCTTGAATTGACTCTTTCTTAAGCCACAAGAACCCTAACTTGGCCCTCATTCAGATAGTCACTCATTTGTTTAGTCATTCAGTTAGTTATTCACTCACTACCTTAATCAATCATTGGCTCACTCGCTCATTGACTCATTCATACACACATAACTCATGGTTATGTGCTAGGCCCTGGAGGCACAAAATCCTCGTTCTGGTAGAGCTTATAGTCTAGTGGGAAGACACCCACTATTCAAGTACCCACAGGAACAATTGTACAAGTGCAGCTCTAACATGGGGGTCCGTGAGCTATCGCGGGGTGACTTGGTTTCGGATGGTTATGAGAAGATGCCCCTGAGTAAGAAGCAGTGAATACGAGTCCACTAACTAAGAAACGAAGCGAGCAGAGCTCTGTGACAGCACATGCAAAGGCCCCGTGACTAGCAGACCTTATACAAGAAGCTAAAAGAAAGCCAGTAGGTAGGAGGGGAGCAGGAAGCAGGCTGAGGGGGAGCTGTCAGCAAAGGCTGCCCTTTAGAGGGTAGGGGCAGGGCTCCATGTTCTTGCCTCTGACCCTTGAGCAACGAGGAGCCCTTGCCAGTGCTAAGCAGCAGGCAGACTTGCTTTTCAGAAAGTCCAGCCTGCCTGCAATAGGGAGAAGAGACTAGAAAGGTCAAGAGCAGATGGGTGGCCAGGGAATGGGTGGAGGGGCGCATGGGCACAGTGCACACTGAGACATTGGCTGTGAGATGCAGAGAGGAATCAAGTAAGGGGCAGTTCCCAGGTCAGACCACAGACCTGAGGATGGCGTGATAGCAGAGGGAATGGGGAGGCAGGTACTTAGTGAATGACTGAGCACCACCCATGAAATGGGAACACTGGGAAGGGCCCAGGGTGAGGAGTACAGTCATGGGATCGATGTGGACAGGTTTCGTGTGAGATGCTTTTTAAGTCACCAAGTGGGATTTCAGAAAGGCAACTGGATCTGGGGCAGCCGCTGGTCATGTTTCCTCCTCTTCTCTCTACCAGTCTTTCTTCCCTTCCTTACAGAATCATCCGGACCAAAGTGCAGCAACCATTCAACCTCCCCATGGACAGCTGCGTGGCCACCAAGTCCCTGAGCCCAGGACACACGCTGAGTGAGTGTGGAGGGGCCGCAGGCACACTCCTCTGCACACACATGCCCATCTGCATACACACGGCTCACCTGCTCCGTGTGGCCCCAGCCCTTCCAGGATACAAAGCCTATGGGCTCCAACGAACCAACCAGGAGATATTTAGGAAGCACAGCATGAGGCCAGACTCTGTGGTGGGGAAGGGGCTCTCAGGGATGTCCTTCCCCCATCCTGACCCTGTCCCTCTCATGCCCTGTAGTCCCCAGCTCAGCCGTGACACCCCCGGAGTCACCCCAGTCTGACTCTCTGGGCTCCACTTACTCCATCAATGGGCTGCTGGGGATCGCCCAGCCTGGCAGCGAGAGCAAGAGGAAGATGGATGACAGTGAGTATGGGGGGCATGGAGGGCAGGTCGGAGTGCAGGAGGGCTCAGGCTCTGATGGGCCAGAAGCCCCCTTGGGCCCAGGAATGTGTTATCTTGGCAATTACTTCCCTGTAGCCTGTGGCCTGTCTCTGAGCGGCCACAGCCCTAAGGCCTGGAGGCCAGGGACCTGGGTCCTTCCCCACCCTCGGCAGCTCAGTCTGCTCCTCCACTCTGGCCTGGAAATGGGGAGATGTGTCCCCTGAGAGCTTTCTTCCTGCTCGGGGACTCCAGGTGACCAAGACAGCTGCCGGCTGAGCATCGACTCCCAGAGCAGCAGCAGCGGGCCTCGCAAGCACCTCCGCACGGACGCCTTCAGCCAGCACCACCTCGAGCCCCTTGAGTGCCCCTTCGAGCGGCAGCACTACCCGGAGGCCTACGCCTCCCCCGGCCACACCAAAGGCGAGCAGGTGAGATGGGGACGTGGAAGGGCCTGGGTGGGCTGGGGTCCAGCAGGTGCGTCTCTGCAGACCCATGATCTGCCTGCAGTCCTGCCACCAGAGCAGCCAGAAGTTGCTTTGATTGCGTAGGGCAGAAGCTTCATGCAGCTTCAAGCCCCAAACCTTTACTGTTTCACCAGTACTAGCTCTTTCTCCGCCTCCTCCCAGCCCTCTTGCCTTCTTCCCTCATCCACACTGAGCTCAGCCCTCTCCCAGGGAGCCACGGCCAGGCAGTGCCACCCCCTTGCCCGCAGTGCCCCTGAGACCACAGGGTCGGGTCCCACAGCTCTAGAGCTGCAGCCTGAAGCCTTCCCACTATGGCCTCAACCAGCATTTCCAGTCCCACCTCCAGCCACTCACGCCTGCACACCCCATGACCCTACATTACTCACACCCCCAAGCGTGCACTCTGGTTCACACCTCTCTGCTCTGGCACACCCTGTGCCTCCCTGCGAATGCCTTTCCTCCCACATCTCTGCCTGGGAAAATACCGCCCGCCATTAGGACTCAGCTCAAGCATCACTTTACCCATGAGTCCTCTCCTCTCCACGGTGTGTGTCCTCTCTCCCTCCTGAGCTTCTGCACCTCACTGGCCATTCCTCATCACTTCTCACGCAGGGTCAGAGTTGTCCAGCGGACAGAGGTGTAAGGCACAGTGGGCAGCATCTTGGAGCACTTTATAAAATCTCCACACCGAACATGTGCCCTTGTTATAATAGATGCTCAGTAAAGGATGGTTGAGTGAATGAATTGAGAAGTGCAGCCAATGGCATCTCTTCCCCGGTGCCCAGGAAGGGGACCGTTTATAGGGGCAGATCCTGTGAAGGTGGCAGTCACAGCCCAGTCTCCCGGGGCCAGCAACATTTCACACTCTGCCTCAGTTTCCAGGCGCTGCCTCTGACCACTTCTGTCTGTCAACAGTCCATGTCTCCCCACCACCCAGGTAGTTAGCCAGCTGAGGGGTTTCGGGGTGATGTCTGCCCCCCCTCTTTGCTCATGCTATCATTGTCTAGGAGTGAAGCAAAGGCTTATACCTTTAAGATCTGAGCAGGACAATGGTGAGGATGCCACCCATGAGTTGAACCATTGCCAGTGGCCGTCTAGGCATCTGGGCCCGTGCCAGCACCTGCAGCTGGGCAGGCAATCTGCGTCAGCGATTTTATCAGCCTGGGCCATGGTAGCCACGAGGAGTGCAGAGAAAGCTGGTTGTCAGCAGACTTGGGGACAGGCTGGGTGCTCATCGAGTCAGCACACGGCTCTGGAGGGAGTGGGGTGCAGCAGTGGTAGCTCGCCCTGCTCACAGGAGCCTGCACAGCCCAGAGTGCACGCATCAGCCATCCCGGCAGAAGGAAAGAGCCCTGTCACTGAGATGCAGAACCTCACTTACCCCTCCACCCCAAGCCCCATTCCTGAGCCCTCAAGGAACAATTGTGCAAGTGCAGCTCTTCCCTGCTCCGTCACAAGGAATCCAAATCTCTGCACCAGGCTGGCATCTGCATAGGGACTCATGGGCTGGGAGAGTCAGAGCCAGAGGGCACTTGAGACCACAGAGCCCAGTGTCTTCATTTGGGTGGAGACAAGCCAGGGCCAGAGACAGTAGACAGGGCCTGGGGATCAAGCAGCTGTGGAACCTAGGACTGAGGCCCTGGTGCCACTCAGAATGGCCCAAATAAGAACCTACTTAGAGGCCCTGCTTCTAGGTAGGCTCTTATTTGAAGACGGACAATCGAGTTGGAAAGCCATGGAGCTGCTCCATCACCTTGTCCTCCATACGAGGAGGCTGAGGCCCACCCAGCATGTTCACCGGTGACCCCTCCCTCCTCAGCCAGTTGGCAGCTGGTTCTCATCCATCCAGTTCTTCTGGGGCAGGGAGAGCCCAGGCTGGTGAGGGGCCTTTCCTGGTGACTGACAGTGCTGCCAGAGGAACAGCCCTGCTGTTCGTTTTCACACCTGGCCTCAAGGTGGGCAAACACGCTGTCTTTTCTGTAAAAGCAAACGGGGGAGCGTGTTGGACAGAAGCATTGTGCTTCGGTGCCAGGCCTGATTAGGAGTCTCAGCGGCCCTGTTCCTCTGTCTTCCAAGTGCACTGATAACGGATCAACAGAAGGGAGTGGTGGGATGACAGGGACTGAGAACTTGGTAGCTCCTACTCTCCGATGACTGAAATGACACTGCCTGTGACAAGTCTGCACAGAGCACGTGCTGTCCCCACTTCTGCTAAGTGCTCCATCTCTGTGTCTGTAACACCTTGATCCTGACACCAGCCTCAATCCTGCTGCCCCCCCCCCCACACACACACACAGGTGATACAAATCAAGGCTCCAAAAGGCCGGGACACCATAGCTTCCCTGCTGGTGGTGCAGAAGCAGGGAAGCAGGGCTCGCCGCATTCTAAAGCATTGTGCTGCTCTGCACCCCAGTCCAAGTTCACTCCACGTGAGAAAGCCAGTCATTGCTAGGATGTGTAAGCCATCCTGGGCGACAGCACCTGAGTAGCTGGCTAGATATGTTTGGGTTTCGTTTTTTTGTTTGTTTCTTGGGGCCGGGGTGGGGGGTGGGGGTGTTCCACTAAATTTCCTGGATTTTAGAGCTGCTACAGATTTCAATAGGTATTTTGGTATGGAACCAACACATTCACAGGCATTTTAAACTTCCCTCACCTGCTCTAGAAATTAGGTTTTTGTTCAGTTTTGCTAAGCCGTGCCAAGCATCTCCACCCTCAGAGGCATGGGCCCCCCTCAGAGACTGGGACCAGAGCACCCCTGAATCAGTAATTGCTCTGCACGGTGATGGTGCACTCTCGGCCTCCAGATGGAATTGTGGGCTGGAAGAGTAAGTCAACACGCACCCTGAAAGTGCTGCGGCCTCTGGGAGAGCCAGCTCCATGGAAGTCACTGGCAGTGACTGCCTCAGTGGACTAGTATGTAACCAGAAAGTAATCCTTGAGTTCTGTTATTTTAAGATTATCTTTTTTTTTAATAAAGATATTTAAATGGATTTTTTTTTAACAGAGAGAGGAAGTGAGAGAGAGAAAAGGAGAGGGTGAGAGAGAAACATAGATGTGAGAGATGAACATGGATCAGCTGCCTCCCACACGCTCCCTATTTGGGGTCAAGCCTGCAACCTGGGTGTGTGCCCAGACCTGGAATCGAACCAGCAACCCTTTGGTGCATGGGGCAACACCCAACCAGCAGCCATACCAGCTAGAGCATGAGCTCAGCTTTCATAGTGTGCTTGTGATGTGTGTGGGGAACAGTGTGCACTGTGTGTGCTGCCTCGGCCTCTGGTGGGAAGGGTCACAGTGGGGGAGGCATGTGCAGCTTTGAAGTGAACAACTTCTTTCTGGAGAGAGTGCCTTAGGAGAGGGGGAGTCTAACCGGAGCTCTTAATAAAAAAATCCAGGTACTGATACAGAGTTCTTTAAACAAAATGAACCCCAATATCATCTTCAGGCTGATCCCAAACATTTCTATTTGCCTGGATATGGAGAGGAGGAAGGAGACACACCTGTTCTGGTGGGGACCACGGCTGCCCACTGACTGCAGGAGACAACACCTGGGACGGGGCCATGTCTCCAGTGTGGTTCCTGTTCCCCAAGGGCCTCCGGCAAGCTCTCCACATAGAAAGCAGGCCCAGTGTTGCTTGCCCACGTCACAGGGCTGCCAGGGGAATGGATCCAGATGTGGCAATGCTGTTAACCAGTTCAGGGCAGCGGCTAGGGGCATGGCATAGCAGCCCAGCCCCTTGAGTTTAATCCTGGCTTGGGACCCTGTGGGAGAGTGACCTTTCGTGCTCGCATTTTCTCTCTGGAAGGAATAAATGGTCCTACACGGTCCAGTGGGTTGAAGCTCCACCCCGCATTTTGTCCTTGGTGGGTTCACATCCTGTGAGCCAGCAAGGAGAGGGACCCACCAGCCTGTAGGAGGTCCTGGGAAGGAGACGCTTCATCCTGTGCCTGCTCACAGGCCACGAGCTACTGCCGAGGGGAAGCCGGGAGACTGGGAGTAAGAGAAGAGCAGGACTGTGCTTCAGGAATAAGAAGCCGTTAAACACGCTCCATGGAGTCAAGGAGCAGTGACAGCTGCAGGAAAGGCTTGCCCCAGGGGCCTCTATGCAGACTCTTCTTTGTTCCCCAGGGCCTCTACCCGCTGCCCCTGCTCAACAGCGCCCTGGACGACGGAAAGGCCACCTTGACCCCTTCCAACACACCCTTGGGGCGCAACCTCTCGACTCATCAGACCTACCCTGTGGTGACAGGTAGGATGCCCAGAATCTCTGAGCCATGTGGCCCTGGCTGCCAGGTTGGGCGGGAGGGCAGGCAAAAGCAGGGAAAGGCTGGTGTGAGGAGGAAGGTGTTAGGGCCCTAGATGTGGAGAGGAGAGGGGCTCTGCTGGCTGGGCCTCCTGGTGGGTCAGGAGGGTCCTGCCCTCTCTGCTCAGCCCCTCCTCTGCCTGCTGTGCACTGTGGAGAGGTGGGCACTCCAGGTCTCTGCACACTGGCGGGGGCACAGCAGAGCAGAGCTGCTCCCGTCTCTCAGCCCTAGGAGCACCAGCCCAGCCGCCCCGAGCCCGCACCCCCATTTCATGGCTTGTTGTGCATGCTCCCACCATCATCTCACCCTCTCTCCTTGTCTCCCTCCCCAGCAGATCCTCACTCACCCTTCGCCATAAAGCAGGAAAGCCCCGAGGTGTCCAGTTCTAGCTCCACCCCTTCCTCTTTATCTAGCTCGGCCTTTTTGGACCTGCAGCAAGTCGGCTCTGGGGTCCCCGCGGGAGCCTCGGTCCCGCCCTTCAATGCCTTTCCCCACGCTGCCTCAGTGTACGGGCAGCTCGCGGGCCAGGTCCTCCTCTCAGGTACGACAGGGAGGGCCGGGCCTGCAGCCTTCGTGGGGGCGGGCGGGGTCCCAGGGCCAGTCCCCTGGTTCCAAGGAGTCTAGTCCCCTCACTGGTCCTCAGTCCTGTCCACCATCAACCTCTTCCTGAATTCCTCTGATAACTGCTGGAGGTACCAGTATGTGGGTCTCCATGCAGCAGTCAGGCCATGGGAGGGGGCACTCGACGGGTGCCTGGAAGGGGTGCCTCAAGGCCCAGTGGAAGAGCAGGGATCCTCAGGCCAGGAACCAGGTGCTCTGCTGAACACTTAGTCTGGGGGTGGGGGGGGGGGGGATTGATAAAACTTTGAAGGAAAAGTCATTGGATTTTGGTGCCAAATTTCTAAAGACAAAGAACCAATCACAGTCTGGTATCCGCAGTGGAGTTTCTGTCGTGCTTGCCTCATAATGTTGCTCACCATCGGAGGACTCACACCTGAGTCTCCTCTCCTGGAAGCCAGAGTACCGGGGACCTGGGCGGCTGGAGCGGTCCTGACACTGAGGGAGGGAGGCCTAGAGGAGGGCAGGTGGGGGCCCTGAATAGGAGTGTGGTGTGGCAGGTGAGGGCTTGCACCATGTGCCCCTGCTCAGACCCCCGCAGTGTGGGATCTCCCTGGCGGAAGGGAGAGCGAGGCAGTTGGCTTGGGCAGAAGAGGCCTGTGGTGGAGTGCAGACGGCAGATCCTGTAACAGTGCTCAGACACCGAAGGATGACCGCAGCCAAGGGCTGTCCTTGGCTAGGTGTGGGTCCAGGTGTTGAACCAGAGCGCATGGGGGAACAGACGGGGGCAGCCCTTCTAACCAGCAGTTTCCAAACATGCTGGGGACCTTGAAACTCTCTCTCTCGAAATGAAAGCTTCTCCAGAAGTCAGGTCCCAGCCAGATCCCTGCGAGTGGCCCTGTTTGCAGCCCCGCTCTGCTCCGAGCGCCCTTGGACTTGGGAACCTCTGCTCTGGAGGAGAAGAGCAGTCTCCACCCTCCCTTCTAAGGACTCTCCCCTCTGCGTGGGGCACGGGGAGTTTCCCCCCAGCACTTCTGAGGTGGGAGGTCATCTCAGAGGAGGTGGGCACAGAGGTGAAGGGTTAATAAAGGAAGCCAGTGCGTGGGAAGCAAGGGAGAAAATGTTGACTCAGACTTCAGAATTTCAAAAGAGGGTGAAGTCAGCGGAGATGGGTCATTTGTTTTGACCAAAGTGATGAAAGGAGAAAAGTCATGAGCTGGGTGGAATGATGTCAGCGGGAGAAAATGGGGTGGGAGGGAGGAGAGAGGGGGAGCAGAAGAGGCTCCCTTTCCAGCCTGCCCATCTCATGTGAACGGCAGGCCAGGGCTAGAAGCCAGTGAGGCAGGTGAGGGATGAGGGTGTGGACGAGGCCTGTGAGGATGAGGAGCCGAACCAGCAAGTGAGGGAAGACAAATGTCTCAGAAAACAGTGAGTGTTGGTACAGAGTGTAGCTGGACAGCCCAGGGAAGCAAACTCTGTGCTCCATAGCCCCACACTTTCTCCCTTCCCCGTCACCCTATTGGGGCTTCAAGCAGCCCTGTCAACACACAATCAGATCAGGGACCTTCCAACTTCTTTCAGCTCTTAGTTTAGTGGCATGCCCGCTCCCAGACCAGCTGTGGGACATGCACCCGGGGTGGAGCAGCTAGTAGCAGAGACCTGGGTCCATCCAGGCAGCCAGTACACAGCTCCAATGTGTCCTTCAGGCTAGTGGCCCCAGGCCAGGGCCAGGTGATGCTGGGGTGCAGGGTATGATCCCTGGGAAGGCTGATGGGTGATTGAAGGATCCAGCCCACCCACCCGGGAGCTTGGAGAAGAGCTGGCAGTACCCAACCTCAAAGAACTGGGTCCAGGCAGGCTGTCAAGAGTAGGGGAGCTTAGAGCCCTGAGCCAGCCTGTGGCCTGGGCACAAGGCCGTTGATGGCTGGTGTCCACGCCAGACCCAGGGTGTTGGAGCTCCTGAGAGAATGTCCACATGTGGCCCCTGGTCCAGTTTGGACCTAAACGTCTACCATGTGACTGAACCATGGTGAACAGACACAGAGAGAGGAAGGATAGGAGGTCAGCAGAAGGTTCTTGAGGGTGGGGAGACTAGAAACCTATTCGAGGGAAGAAGAGGTGGATTTGAAAGGAAGAAAAGGGGGCAGGACCAAGAGGCCAGTAGGGAGGCTCAGCTCCCACCCACATGGGCCCTCCCTCTCTGAGGCTTCCTGAGGACCCCCTGCTGCATCCTGCAGCCTTTGCCTGCTTCACAGTCTCCCCAGGTCACTTCCTACCCAGTCCAGAGGCTCTCAGTGTCCTTCTGGCTCTCAGCTTCTCCCTAGCCCAGCCAAGATCAAAGCACCATCAGGGTTTGGGGGACATAAGATTGCCTCTTACCCCCCCCCCCCAGTGCCCTCAGGTGCCCCAGCGGGGGTCCCAGCACACTAGCCAGGACCGGTGTGGAGGTGCCTGGTCCTGGCTGCTCCAAGGCTCTCTCACTTCAGCTCCACTGGTCAGAAGGCTCTGAGTTTGGTTTTATCATCAAAGAGTCCATTACCCGCCTCCATCCTTTTGTACAAAATCATATTTAGTCCTGCCAGAGAGATTTCTGGATTGTCATAAATTCTCTTTGCTATCAGAACAAGATAAGGAACTAAAAGGGTCACAGAGAGGGCAGACATCAAAGGGGCAAATAAAATGGTCTGAAACTGCCTCTGCCCTCTGAATTCTTCCACACCATGGTTCTGATCCTGATCCTACCCATATTTACAATATTCACCAATATATCTGGGGTGCTAGTGTTTTCTTATAGAACCCCACTTCACAGCAAGTCAATGTGGGCCCATGCCTAAGCCAACTTCTTAAAAATAAGACCATGTTGGAAGGATGTGTGAGTTCAGAGGAGATAAAATTACAAAACAAAGAAAAACATATAATGAAGAGCCTTAAAAGTCAATAGTGGATGAAAAAGTGTCGTGAGATTGTGATGGAGGGCCCTGCCTCAGGGCTTCCCCAGTTTCATCTCTAAGAAGGTTGCAAGGTTCGTGGCTTTGGGGGAAGAACCCATGAGTTTGAGGAATTAAACCAAAGAGTTTTGTGGGACTGCTAGAAAAGTTTATGGGACCACGGTCTGGGAAAGGGTCTCTCCAAAGAGAGTCTTACTGGTCTGTCCAGGAGGCCAAGGGCATGGGAGGAGGCCATAGGGGTCTGCTCCAGCATTTGGTGCAGAAATCTCTGCCCCACTGGGAGGAAATTAGGTGACTAAGGAGCAACAAAGATTAAAATCTTGAAATGTATGAATTCAGTTTCCAAGAGCAATTTGGGGGCTAGTTTCATGGTATGGAGTGCAGGGAGCAATTATGAGTGAATTAAGTTGTGGCTTAAGAGGAATATGTGCCCCAGTGCTCTGCTCATTGAGCTGCTCAAGAAGCAGCAGGGTCGGGAGATAGAAGGGATAGGACAAGGGACAGAGGAAGGAGCATCCCTGGAGAGTAGCTAGGCCAGCCCTGCAAATAGGTAGCCTGAGAGCCAAGACTGAGACTCCTCAGAATCCTTCTCAACACAGTGCACCAAGAAGCCCCAGGCAGTCAATCAAAAAATGAGTTGAATCCACTTCACCATGTCTCATCCAACACAGCTCCTCACTGGACATACGGGAAGATACAGTTCAGAGAAATTAAATAATGTGCTCCTCAGCCACAACCTGGCCTAGACTTAGGCCCTATCCCTCCCCCCCTTAAGAGAAGGAAGTAAGGGAAATAGAAAGAAAGAAGGTATCAGGTCTAAACCAGCTACCACTCATCCATCACTCTCTCACTCAGACCACCTGCCCATTCTGTACTCTTCCTACCCTTACAGACTGCACATCTCTCCTTCTCTCTCCTGGGTCCCTGGCCAGGCACTTGGTCTCAGCGCTGAGGCCTGAGTCTGTTTGAAGAAAGATAAGACTATACCTCCATATAGCTTCTGCATCCTTCTCTTGCTACCTGTAAATATGTTAAAATTTCTTTTTTCTCACCAACCTTTCCAACCCCTCATTTATTCAGACCCTGAGTCAAGTGCACTGGCCCCATCTGTGGAATCCCAGTGGGTTCCATTCTGTTTGGCCCAGCACCAATCACAACCGGATATTGTACTAAAGGTCAAACAAATTATGGACAGTGCTTATTTTTATCAACACATTTACGATATCACCGATAATTCATTTCAAATGGGATTTATTCTATTCAGGTTCCTTTTACATGTAACAATTTGTAGAATGTGTTCATTTGCACTAACCAGTATTGCCTATTGCACGAGACCCTGGTTCTGGATTACACAGATAACATTATAGCAATAGTGATAAGATGATGATAGTGATGAGGTCCATAAAGCTTCTCTTCTTTCCCTCTCATTTTGCATGTGAAGGAACTGAGGCTTGGGCGGCTAGTCTAGGGCACTTGGAATTTGAGCCACTGAAGCAGGATAAGAAGTGAGGTCCTTGGACTCCTGACATCCAGTAGGCCTGGTACTGTTTGTTGACCCCTTAGGTTTGGCTCCCGGTGCCCATCCTAGTCTATGCCTCATCTTGGCCTTGCTAATTGAGCATTCTTTTTTTCTGCTGTATCCTCAAGTAGTTAGAAAGCTGCCTATCTCATCAGACTCATCCATAGTATTTGTTGAATGAAAAACTGGTCTTCAGGGACTCTCCAGAAAGAGAGGAGAGGAGGAGTTAGTCACTGTGGTTTTGAAAATTTGTAGAGTTCCATGGATGTACCTTCCTTTCATCAGTACCAGGCACCCCCTGAAGGGTTGAGGTATGAAGGTCCTATAGGGACCAATGGGAGGGAAGTTGGATGGGCAGTGTCATAGAGGATATGACTTAGCATTTTAGTTGACAGGGCCTCATAGGGGCCATATACGTTGTAGGAGAAAAATCCACCTCTGTGTGAAGAGGCAGAGGCATTGGGTAAAATGGTCACAGTCTAACATAGTGGCTTTCAGCCAGAGGCAATCTTGCAACCAGGGGACATATGGCAATGTTTGGAGACATTTCTAGTTGTCACACTGGGAGGGAACTGCTACTGGCATCCAGTGGGATGGTCCCAAATATCCTATAAGGCAGAGGATGGCCCCACACAAAGATTAACCAATCCTAGATGTCAGCAGTGCTGAGGCTGAAGAACCCCAAAACATTAGGAAGAGCCTCGATGACCAAGTAATTCATCTTGCTGGACATTTTGAAAGTGAGATAGGCATTACTAATAAGTATGCTGGGATAGTAGTCCTAACTGGGCAAGCAAGCATGTATCGTCACCTTGTCAGGAATCCCTGATGGGGTCTGACTTTGGCCTGCAGGTCATAAAAGGGGTGATGGTTGGAGGGGCGTGTGGCTGTGAACACAGGTGCAAATGGAAAGAAACTCAGAGGTCAGGTGGGGTCCCACAAAAGGGGAGGTTTGACTTCCTGTTATATAGGACAGGGGGAGCCAGGGAAATCAGGTTGAGCTGTCTTGGTGTCACCAGGGCAGAGGCACTACTCACAAATATAGACTAACAAAGAGATGGGTGTCTGTTTTGCTGAAAATGTCTTTTCAGGAATGGGAGTTACAGATGTGGGGTTGGTGGTCATGTGTAAATGTTTAATATATTATATCTCAGCCCACGTCCCCTTTATGGGTTGGGGATAGCCAGAAGATCTCCTGTCCCTTGTTACTCTGAAAGGCTTTGTCCATCTGTCAGGCAGGAAGAGTAAGAGGACCTCCTCTGGCCCAGTGGAAAAAGATTGCAGTAATTGATTAGTAATGTCTGCATGGCTCCAAAAATAATAATAGATAGTAATGGGCCAGCAGGCCACACTTATGCCACCCTAGGTAGGGCCTTGTTCTTGGTTGTGCTCAGAACTGGGGCTGACAGGGTGTGAGCTCTAAGTCCAGTGACCTCTAATGTATTTATTTAGGCCAGCTGTGCTGGATGCGGTAGGGGAAACCAGGGTCCAGAAGACATAGCCCCAGCCTCCCTCCAATACATGACAGTTAGTGAGGAATTAGATTCACTGAAACAAAATCCCTGGAGAGCAGGGAATGATACAGGACAGCCAAGCGGTGCACCCTTCTTGATGGGGCCTGGGGTCTGCAGAGGACAGAGGAGGGAGGAAGTGGGTTGGAGAATGGCCTGACAGCAAGAGGGCGTGGCAGGAGGGAAGCCTCACTGATCCTCCAGGAAGCAAGATGGTAAGTACAGTTGCCTCCTGTGGCCCAACTGAAGACTCCTTCCTGTGTTTTTCCAGGGCGAGAGATGGTGGGGCCCACGCTTCCTGGATACCCACCCCACATCCCCACCAGTGGACAGGGCAGCTATGCCTCCTCTGCCATCGCAGGCATGGTTGCAGGTAAGGGGGCACACACAGGAGGGGGAGCATTGCCTAGAGGAAGTGTTGGCCAAAGATGGAGCAAGAGGAAGGTAGTGTCCCATGCATAGACTCCCCAAAGGGCACTGGAGGAGGGACCGAATGGTGCATCTCTTAAAAGTCTGGAGGAGAGACTTCCATGCAGTCCTGGCTTCTTACCGATCCCCAACTCTGCCTCCTTCTTCCCAGATGCTCCTACATCACCCATGGTGATGAAAAGGGAGGTGCTGAGGTAGACTGGTATTGCAGTGGAGCTCTACCACTTGGTCCTTCCATTCAAGGAGCCCAGGTGGGGCTGCAAACCACTGGCAGCTAAACATAAGCCTAGCCTTCAAGTAACCCCTGGTCTCCCAGTGATTTAACTGGTGAGCTGCAGTTTACCATTCTGTAACACCTGAATATGAGTGGTGTAGGTGATGATGATGATGGTGATGAGGGTGATGATATGATTGAAATATAGCCATCTTCATACACCACACCCACTCAACCCTGTATGGGTGGGACCCGAGTTCTAGATATTCAGAAGGTATTGCAGAGTATGAGATGAGCTGGGAGCATTTCTCCATCACCATTTGAATGGTGGAATCCTGCCTGCCAGTCATTTGGTTTCTTTGTCTACAAGCACGGCCATCACCCAACGGTGACCCAGGGTGTCAAGGCTGGGACATGTGAGGAGGACAAGGAGAGTCTCTTTTGGCAGGTGTCTCTCTTAGGGGCCATAGAAGAGAATAGGACGTTTCCATTGCCCAGAGGCCTGAGGATCTAGAGCTTCTGGAAGGGGCTGAGTCAGGGTCTCTGTGATCCCTATGCCACCGCTGGACCAGATGCCCTAGCCTGACCCCAGAGGCAGTGCTTTCACCAGGCCTGCTTTCCTGCCCCCTGGCAAAGTTGTCTTTGCCAGCACCCACTCTGGTGCCTGTGTGAGGCAGGGGCTGGGCTCTCCTGGGCAGAGGGAACAGAAGAAGAAGTGAGGGAGGGAAGCAGGCTCTATGCTCCCTGGGAACCTGCTGAGCTGGCACTTGTTGCTGCCTGGTTACCGTGGCAATGTGCTTAATGCAGCGTTGAAAATACAGAATACTCACTCCTCTCTCCCTCCTGGTCCCGGACTCCCTCCCTCCCCTCCTTCCTCTTCTGGAGCGTGAAATGAGATTGGTCAAGATAAAAAAGGAAAAGATTCGGTTATTTTTTTAAGAGTGTGGATAATAGGGCCTCTCAATCAAAATCCCAGGCTCCAGTCAGCTCCTCCAACCCCCATCCAACCTCTCCACCTTCTCCAGCCGCCTGCTTAGAGGAAGAAATATAAAGCCCAGGCTTTTCTCTTAATTATGAATCATCCAGGGGGGATGGCCAGGGCAAGGGGTTCATGGGGCCCAGAGTCTGACCTGGTAGTTGGAAAGCTTAGGCCTCTCATCAAAGGCTCCAGTTGTCTCCAGAAAGACCTCATCTCGTGTGGGTGTTGTGGACAAAAAAAAAAAAAAAAAAAAAAAAAAAATAGCACAATGACAGCATCCACTGCAAGTGAACTGGAAGGGAGGGGCCTTGCCTTGTGCAGTGGACAGTGGATTGGCTTCCAATAAGTTACATGCAAACCTGATTTTCAGAAAATGCAGTGCTATTTGATTGTTTCACCTGGTTCCTGTGGTGAATTTTTTTGTAGGAAAATTATTTGTTCATCTCTTACCAGAGACTAAATCTCGCAGGGACAATGAGGATCCCTCCCATTAAAATTAATAAACCTTCATTAAGTACCTACTATGTGCTTTGTAAACAGCAATGTTTCAAGCAAGGCATGTTAATGACAATCTTCAATCAGTTGTGGAAGAAAGGAAGAGATCACTTATTCTTTTTTTAATATATTTTTTATTAAGTTATTATTTTTGTACATATACCAATGCCCCCCCTTCCTATACATACCCTCCCTCCCCAGAGTTTTGTGTCCATTGGTTGTACTTATATGCATGTATACAAGTCCTTCGGTTGAAGAGATCACTTATTCTGTACTTCTGTGTGCATGGCCATTCATATATATCTTTATTTCTCATTTATCCTTACCATAAGCCTGGGAAGATGGTATTGTCTTAGTTTAATAAAGATAAGAAACAAGCTTAGAAAAGCAAAGTGTTGTGCTCAGGGTTATAACCATACTATGTGACTGAGTTGTTCAAAAACGTATTTTGATTTCAAAAGTAGGGCTCTGTCAGCCACATCACACTGCCTCCCACCATCCTAGAAATCATGACACCATGTCAGAGAGCAACATCGAAACAGGACAGGACTCAGCCTTCTCTTATTTTGCCTCCTAATTGTTGTTGTTGACCCTGCCCCATTAACACAGTTAATGATGCTCACACCAGTTCTGGAGCTGAATCAATAGCTCTAGAGATAATTTGATCCATCCATTCATCCATCCATCCACCTTTCCTTCCATTCCCCTTTACACACATTTTCCCATATATCCACAAATTTTCTCATTCATTCTTCTGTCTTCCTATCCATTTTCCTTCCATTCATCCATTTTTTCATTCTTCTATCCATCTACTCTTTCATCTTTCCACCTATTTATCCATCCATCCATCCATCCATCTATCCATTCATCCATGCTTTCATCCCTCCATCCTTCCATTCTTCCAGTCATTCTTGCATACATTCATCCTTTCATTTTTCCATCTTTCCATTATCTATTGTTCTTCCATCATCTATCATTTCAACCATATATCCATCCACTACTTTTTCACTGAACAAATACTAGTTGAAGATCTATGGCATATGATGCTAGGGATATAGCAGTGAATAAGACCAGTCTCTTTATTTATGGAGTTTACAACCTAATAGTGAAGGGAAAAAAGCATGGAAAACAAGTCAACAAATGAATAGACAGTAAGTGCTGTAAAGGGAACAAAATGGGATGGTGTGATACAAAGCCACAAGGAAAAAAATATGCTACTTTAAAAGGGGAGATCAGTAAAGCCTCTCTGAGATGTTCAAAGTGCAAAGACCCAAGGCAGGAACTGTGGTCGCACATAGTTAGAGGGTGTGAGTGAGCGGGAAAGGACTCTACCATGAGATGTTGGCAGTGGCTTGGGTCAAATTTTAAAAGTACTCTGGCTGCTGGGAAACTGGTGTGGGCATTCAAAAAAGGCAGCAAAGAGACCAGGGGCAATTGTAGTTCATACAGCAGCCTTGGGTTGGGGAGACAGCAGTGAAGGAGGAGAATAGAGATACTCAAGATATATGCTGTGGCAGAGCCAGCAACACTTGCAGGTGAATTGGTTGGAGAGGTTCAGTGTCTCTAGGCTTGGGGCTTGGGAAACTTAATGGATGGTAGTGGCACGTATGCATGGTGGAGACTAGGAGAGGAAGAGTTAGAGCATGTGGCAGGTGGAAATCAAGAGTTCTGTTAGGCCAGATTAGGATTGAGACACCATCTACGTACAAGTTTAGTAAGTCAGTAGGTGCAACATATATTTGAAGTCAGCAAGCCATCCTGACGAGGGCATACATTTCAGCCATTGCTCAGAGCTGTGATTTAATGACAAGGCTAAAACAAGATCATGGGAAAGAGAAGGTGGATGGAAATTCACAGAAGGTTCACACGTCATGCCCTGGAGCTCTTTAGAGTTCTCACAGAGAAGGAACCAAAAGGAGACTGTGGTGGAGAGGCCAGTGGGTCAGGACACACACCCCGAGAGAGGGGTTGGTGGATGAGAGTAAAGGAGTGATAGACAGAAGTGACCACTGGGATAATCGGTTAGAGGCAGTGAGGATATGAGGGGTCAGCCTGATTGGAGGGGAATGCAGCGGTGAAGGCAAAGACCAGGGAGCAGGGGAGGGGCTGGGAGCTGGAGAGGGATGTGGAGTAGGAAGAGGATTTTTAAAGAAAAGATAACAGAGCATGTTTGCTGGCTGAAGGAGGTGATGAATTAGAAAGGGAGAACCAATGAAGCAGAAAGGAGAAGGGATCCATTGTAGGGATCAAGTCCTTGTGATGATGAGTGGGGTAGGATGCAGAGCAAAGAGGACGGCTGGCTTTTCGTGGGTGCAGGGACATTGACAGACATGGCAGAGGGAGGACACTGCACTACCTTCCAAGGCCTGTCCCTACTGAGCAGGAACTGAAGCAGGTGGTGCCCTGCAAACATGAGTTCAGTGAGTACATGCATGTACGAGTGTGAATGCCTGAGTAAGTGACAAGAAGAGAGGGCAAGCACATGGCATTTTCCACTTCTCTTCCTTGTTCCTCCGTGCCAGCAGTGTTGGCACTGGGGGAAGCTGGGGGGGGGGCAGAGGCATGGGGCCCTTGTTGTGTAGCCAGGTTGAATCCGCTTCCTCGCTGGGTGCAGTGAAGCCAGGGGTATTTCAGCTACAGCAGCAGTAAACAGAGTTCACATTGTGGGGTATAAGAAAGAGCTGGAGTAGTGCCTGGTTCTGGTGCTGGCATTCACTACACATGTGGCTGAGGGCTAATGTCTTTCCCTCTCTGCATAGCAGTTTTTAATTGGGGAAATGATGGTTGGATTAGATACTTTCTTAGGTGTTTTTTTTTTTTAATTTGAATATTCCCTCCCTCCCTTTCTCCCCCCCTTACTCCCTCACTTTCTCCCTCTTTTCCTCCCTCCCTCCCTCTCCCCATTGACCTGCCTGGAAAAGCCCTTCACAGGAAAGCAGAGGTGGCTGGAAGCTGGGCCCAGGAGTCACAGCTCCCAAACTCCACCCGCAGCTCCCAAACCCTCTGGCTGTGTGAGCATATGCAAATCCCTAGGCCTTGGTTCTTCACCTGGAAAATGGGCAAAATAAGAACAACTGCCTATGCAGTTCCTGTGAGGTAGAGCTTGTCAGGGTGGGGCCCAGTGTCTGGGGAAAGGACACGGCTCCAAATGGCACTGAGTGAGGGCCCCCAAGGGAGGGGCCTATTGAGCTGCCACTGTCCTGCCCTGGCTCCCCATCCCAGGGCACACCCTTCTCTCCTACCCAAGCCCCATGTGGGTGCTCCACCCACCTCTCACTGTGTATCTCCAACAGGAAGTGAATACTCTAGCAATGCCTACGGCCACACCCCCTACTCCTCCTACAGCGAGGCCTGGCGCTTCCCCAACTCCAGCTTGCTGAGTAAGTCCCCGGGGGCTGCCCAGACCCTCTGCGTGAAGGGCAGGTGGGGTACAAGGCTGGGCCAAAGTCGTCTCAAACCTGGGAGGCCCAGGTTAGACCAGGGCCTGGGGAGACAGGTGTTACTCACAACTCGCATTAAAGCAGTGTGCCAAGCTGTGGCCAGGTCGTTGGAGGAAGAAGAGGGTGGGGAGAGACTTCCCTGCCCATCTCTCTCCTGCTGCCCAAGGCCATGTCTCTGAGATCCTTCTTTTGAGGAGGATCCAGGGCTCAGGGAGGGCCAGGATGGATTAAGAAACCACAGAGTGGATGCACCTTTGCGGGCTCACAGTCCAGCAGCACTAACCCTGGTGCTGCCACGCAGAGTGCCCGCTGCCCCTGCCTGGGAGCATGCCGATGGCACTGAGTGCTGTCCTGTTGCCCACATTAGGCATTAAGGAGGCTCCCAGAGCTCAGTAGGCCCTGCACAGGAGTCCTCTGTTCCACCCGGTCCTGGAAGTTGGCTGGAGGTGTGGAGCCTTAGAATTCAGGTCCAGAGAGTGACCTGCAGGCTGCTCGGCACCCCTCTTGCCCTCGGGCCTGGGCTGTGTGGAGAAGCTTTTCAGGAAATCATGCCCCATAAGTGGAAACTTGAGGAAACTCACTCAGTCCCCCTGAGTGATGACCTCAGACCAACCTGGGTCAGAGAGAGGAGTGGTGGGAGCGTGGCTGACCCCATGGCGTCATCACAGGCATGGCAGGGCTACCTTTCTCAAGACCTCCCTCTCCTACCACCTTGCCACCTCGCTGCTCAGTTTAGCCAGGGGGGCGAAGGGTCAGTCACCTTCCCACGAGCCTCCCCATGGAGGTCCCCAAAATCTCACAGCCCTCATTACCTGTCAGAAGTTGTGTTGTTGTTAATCCTCATCGAGGATCTTCTCGCCATTGATTTTTGGTGTGAGAGAGACAATTTGATGTGACGAGGTCAGGGAATCGAACCTGCAACCCAGGCACATGCCCTTGCCCAGGAAATGAAACCACAGCCCTTTGGTGCATGAACCAATGCTCTAACCACTGAGAAACATCGGCCGGGACAACCAGTCAAATGTTTAATCCCTCTGATTTGGAAGAGGAAGATTCTATGACCTCGCACAGTTTGGGCAGAGCTGGGGAGACCCCGATGGTGCCCCTGTGTGCGTACCTGCTCTCTGTTGCTCTCTCTCCCTAAAACAAGGGCGCTGAAGGTCACAGCAATCGTGGGGGGAGGGACAAGGAGCCACCTTCTCCTTCTGGCCAGAAACTCAAAGGTGAGGTCAGAGAAGGAGGAAACAGGCCGGAGAGGAGTTAATCTTTGATGATCAGATAGGCCAGGGGGTGAATGATTAACCTGAGCTGTCTTAAAGGTTAGCAGATGCCAGGGCGGCTGTGGTGCAATTCCCCCCTCTGACCAACGCTGTTGTTGTTATTTTTCTGACGTGTCCAGGTTCTCCATATTATTACAGTTCCACATCGAGGCCGAGCGCGCCGCCCACCACCGCCACGGCCTTTGACCACCTGTAGTCGCCATGGGGACAGTGGGAGCGACGGAGCAGCAGGAGGACCCGGGCCCGCAAGGAATCTTTATTTATTACACGAAAATAATCACAAGTCCGGCATGCAGGTCGCACTCCTGTGTGGTTGACTTAATGAACCGTGAAAGACAGGATGACTTTGCAGAAGGCCAGACTGTCCTCCGGGATTCCTCAGTGAGACGGAGTCCCAGGAAGGGACACCGCACCCCGAAACATGCAAAACTGGAGGGGTGCGGGGAGCAGAGGAGCTGCGAGCTTGAGGGGATGGCAGGCGGCCCACAGGGGGCTGAGGGGCCCGGGGCGCCTCTGAGGCTTCACCATCAACATGCACTAGCGGTCGATCAATCGGTCCTGGGCTCTTAGCAGTTCAGTCTGGCCCAAAAGTTGCACCCATAGGAAGGCTGTTCCCCAGCCACCCTGGGGGTCACTCACTGAACTGCCCCAGAGTTGAGGCTCCTGCCCTCCATCTCCCAGACCCAGCCTGCTTGGCTCCGCCTGCACCTCCCCCTTGGCCACGGGCTGAGAGCCTGAGAGCCCTGGCCAGTCAACCAAAAGCTCCACTGGCGGTCAAGGGCCCTCCTCTGCCTGCTCTGTGATGCCCCACCACCCCAGCTTCTCCTCCTGCAGCTCATCCCAGAGACCAGCCTCTGACAGCTGCACACAGACTTCCCCAAGGGCCCAGCGCAGGGCAGGCAGAGCTGCTAGGGACCCGGGTCCCTCCCATCGGCCCTGCCTCGGCCCACGCCCCCCACACCTGAGGAGGCTGCTGCCACCCAGCCAGCCACGCAGGCTCCCTCCGCGCCTGCCGCTCCCGCCCCAGGCCTGACTGTAAATATTGTAAATGCAGCTCTGATGGGGGCGCTCCCTCTGCTCACCCAGACTGTGGCCTCTCTGAAGTGTCTCCCTGCCATGTTGGGCTTCTCTTCCCGATTCTTCTTTCTTTTTTAAAGACGCCACTATTGCCACTCGGCTCAATAAACCATTACTCCATTCCAAGCTTTGGGGCTGCCTGGGAGGTATTGGGGGGGCTGACTGGGAGGTATTGGGTGGGGCGGGGGTGGGGGAGGGGCCTTATCCAGAGAACCTCAAGCCCAGTGGACACTCACTTTGGGGTCTGGAGTACCCAGGAGGCCTGACTTAGGTTCTCCCTCTGCCCTAACATGTTTCCCGCCAGGCACGCCACCCATCCCGCGCTTTCCCTTCCCCAGCTCCGAGTACCCGCGAGAGTAAAATAAGCACAGGCGTCCCAGGCCAGTGGCAGGCTCCCCATAGTGGCTGCTGTGGTTGCTGTTATTAACAGAGTCCACTGTCTGTCGCGGGAGGCTGGCGACTGCACCAGGAATGGCTGCTCACAGAAGCAGCCTGTGACCCTGTGGTATGGGGAGGCGGGGGAAGGGGAATGAGCAGACATCTACTGGGCTCTGCTGTGCTGGCCGCAGAGTGGAGGCCTCACATCAGCGAAGGTGAAGGTGGGGTTAGCCCCATTTTACATGTGGGCAAAATGAGGCTCGGAAAAAATGAAATCCAAGTGTGGAGGCGGCAGGTTCAGTCAAGTTCTCTTACCATAAGTCCAGCACTTTCACCCAACACCATAGAGCCCTGTCTGGTGCCGGAGGGACCTAGATGCAGGCTACCATGAAGAGGCATAGGGTGGCAGTGCCAACAAGGAAGGAGGGAGCCCGCAGGGACAACTTCTTTCTGAGATACTTCAGAGAGCAAGAGTCACATACCATGGTGGCTGCAGGGCTCGGTCCCCAGCAGGGCTCTTGGCCGCCCAGGGGCTGTCTGCTGTCCACCGGGACCCTCTCCAATTGACCCAGGAATGAGAGGCAGGGCTGTGTGGTGAATTTGACAGCTGCAAAAACAGCACTTGAGGCTGAGTCAGATGGAAGAGGATTCCAATCCCCTTTCTACTCTCCCCCAACCTCCCTGCACACACACCCAGCATTCAGGGACTCCGGGCTGGGAGGCCAAGGGGTGGTAGACAAGAGAAGCCAGCATGCTCACCGAGGACGAGGACAGCAGGACGTTCCCATGGGGATATCTGGTCCCTGTCTCTTCCCAGAGGATTGCAATGAGGCTCATTCTCAACATCAGGGCTTCCCTCTGGCCAGGAGCCTGGTGGGGGGACCCAGCCCAGTACCCCTGAGACTCCTCATGATCCTGAAATGCTGGCCTCTTCAGGCCCTAAGGCAGCCCCACCTGGTTCTGGGGCCACAGTGAATCCCCACACAGGAATCCCTGTGGGGTGCATGGCACCCAGGGAGCCTGCGGTGCAAACACCGGTACGCTGGCCGGCCGGCCCTCTCCAAGCCCGAGTGGCTGTGCTTGTGCCATGGTGACTGAGGTTCAGAGCCACCTTTCTCTTTCTGAGGCCACCCGGGTGCCCAGGGCACTGCTCTGAGGTGCCAGTGAGGGTGGCCGGGCCAGGTGTGCAGGCCAGATATTCCCTCCGAGGTCAAACCGTGCAGCCTGGGGGAGAAAGACGACTTGGGGAACATGAGGGCAGTAGAGAAGGGTGTGAGAAGAAGGTGAGGAGGGCAGGGGAGCACGGGGCGGAGCTAAAAGCCACCTGATGGGGCCTGTGTGTGGAGGGCAGGATGAGTCACAGTGGCCCGAGGGAGGGGCTGGTGGACTGTGTGGCACGGTCGGGCCCCAGTCCTTGGAAGGCCTGTGGGAGCAGCGTGTTGGCAGGAGAATTCGGGGAACAGCATGGGCCCGGGCATGCCCACAGCAGTGGGGCCCACCTCGCCTGCCCCTACACACTGGAGCAGCCCCTCTCCGCTGTGGACAGGCTCCTCTGCCCTGAGGCCACTCACCCTGGTCCCTCATGGTCCCCATTCCCTCCTCAGGGCCCGCCCTCCCTGCACCAGCTCGGCCCGGCCGGCCTGAAGCCCACAGAGGCTCTGGGTGGGAAGGCAGCCCCTGCTCGTTGGGAGACAGAGCAGTTTGAACCCTCCCTGAGCCCACCAGGAGGGACAGAACCCATCTTTCCACGGGGACTGGAGCTGCTGAGACCCTCTGTCCCACAGGCTGGGGAAGGGGCAGCTGGGAGTCCTGCCTCCATGGCAAGGCCCTGGGCCAGGTCCAACCTCGCTTCTCCAACATTCCTGCTGAAAGTTGTTACTAACGAACACGAATTCCCTGCCCTCCTGACCAGGGCCACTCACAACCCTCAGACAGCCTCAGGCAGGGGAGTTGGTGCCGCAGCCCAGATGGGCCCGCCGAGGGCTCCCTCTCCTCCTTCTCTTCTCCCCACCCCGACACATGCACTTTTCCCCACACCCACCCATCTTCCTGAGGCGACTCCTGGTGTCCCTGTCCTGGGGTAGGTGTAGGAGGAGGGGGCTGACCCTCCTGACCCTCCTTCACCTCCCCTTTACTGCCCTCTTACCCGCCCTCCCCACCCTCAGAGGTTATGACAACCCTTCACGTAGCTGTAGTGTCTTTTGTTTATAAAACTTCTCTGCATCCACTTCTCTCTGATTGGGGACATTGGCCCCATTTTGCACTTGGAGAAACTGAGAAGCAAGAGAGGACCTTTTCAAGGTCATCTGAAGGAGCTGGGACCACAGCTGAATCTGCACCCTCCTTGGAGACATCCAATGTCTGGATGTGGCCTCCGGCACTTCGCTGTGTGGGGAGGGACAGTTGCCGGCTCCCAGCGGTCAGCCCTCAGGCCAAGGAGAAGTGCCGGGTGGAACCATTTCCCCTGCATCCTTGGTCCCCTCCCCTCCCGGCCTTCAGGGCCACATGCACCACCATTTGAAGGACGGCCTGTGATGCTTCCGGGCCCCAGCTCCTGTGTCACTTCCAACAGGCATGACCAGCCTAGCCGAGCCGGCCACGGCTGTGGTGTTGGTGAAAGCAAGGGCCCCGGTCCCACAGAGGTGACTGACCTTCTCCCTCTCCCCTTCTCTTTCCTTTCCCCCCTCAGTTTTCTACTCTGGTCCCTCTTCTGCCGGGTCCCAGCAATGACTCCTTTCGCAGCCTGTTGAGAGACCTCTGTGTCGAGGGTGTGGGAAGGGCTCAGGGGCCCGAGCCTGGTCAGGAAAGCCTCTGCACCCTTGTCAGTGAGGGACACCCCACAGCCGTTTCCTGCTGGTAGTGGAGACCTACCACCCCCTCCCCGTCTCCAAGCAGCTAGGACAGAGCCAGTGCCTCTCCCTGGAAGCTGGTCCCTCCGAGGACAGCACCCTTTCTCTGACTCTTGCCGGGCAGTGATGCCAGGCCGCAGCTGAGAAGAGGCCTCCTGGAGATTTGGGGTCTTCTGAGGGTGGGAAGTGGGGCGCTGAGGGGGTGGGGGCGGTGCCTCCATCTGTGCCTGTGGCAGCCGGCCCGACTGGGCAGGGAGGTGCCGCCTGCGGCTCTCCCAGGGAAATGTGATTTCCCCGAGTGAAGCGGACTGTGCAGTGTGGAAATTGGCTCTTTTCTGAGCGAGCGGCTGTGGCAGAGGCTGCAAGCCAGGCCGCGGGAAGCCGCGCTGGCCCCTGGGGTGCGCTGGGAGCAGCCATGTGCTGAGAACTCATTAGGGATAAATCAAAGCCGCACCAGCACGGAGCCAACACCACCACCCCCACAGTGCCCACCACCCCCACCGCCCCTCCCCCTCCCAGCCAGGCACCTCCAGGTCGGAGAGCCGGCCACGCGTCACAGTCAAACACCGGCCCTGAAATCCAAGAGCCAGCCTGGAGGCTAGACCTGTGCACTTACAAATAAATGTTCGCTTGTTTCCTGTTTGTTTGCTTTTTATATATATATATATTTTTTTTGGGGGGGGGGGTAAGGTGGTTGGGGGATGGGGCTTCATTGGTAGCAAGCTTAACTGACACCAGAGGCCTTGCTAGAGCCTGAACTAGGAACTCACCTTCCGGCCAACTCACCGTTCCTCACCCTCCAGCTGCCTTTCCACACCTGCCCCTGCCTCCCAGGCCACATGGGTTCCCCACACGTACCCACACCTCCCCACCTGGTCCCAGGGCTCCCTGC